AATAAGAGAAGGTTTACGAAAGTGAGTGATTAGATAAAATAAAAATTCTAAGAGCACACGGAAATCAAAGTTACAAATTAATAAATATGAGAAAAAGTATACATAATTTTTTAAAATACAAGTATGTAATTAGGTATTCAATAATTATTTTTCATTAATTTTTACATAAATTTTGTAAAAAAATATTTTTTATAAAAATAAAAAAAAAATTCAAATCAATTAATACTAAACTCTACCATGAAGCATGGTCTAGGACGTAGCAAGGGTTTGGTTGTCTAACTACTAACCATGCTGTTCAAATATGTAATGCCCTAACACGTAATTGACTTTATCGTGAAATGCAATCAAATATTTTCAACCATCAATTCTTAATTAATCAGTGGGATTAAAAAATGTAACATAAAATTGAGGTGTAATTTTTTAAAATATTTTTAATGGTCTTTTTTAAATTAAAATTAAAATTTTATGTATTTAAAATTATTGAGTAGACTGCCCAGTCATGTACATTTGATAAAAATAAAACCATTTTGCACATTCAGATTTTTTTTTGTCTCAAAAATAGGTCTTTTCTTTTATTTTAATCCTTACAAAAAAAAAAATTCTTTTTTAATCCCTCATTTCACCCATCTCTAATATTTTTGAAAAAAAAAAAAACATCATAATCATCTTTGCCCACAAAACCTTCACAAAAGTTTTCCTATATCCTTCAAGCTCTTCACATTCAATATTCATTTTTCTTTATTTGATTTAAATTTAAAAACAAAAAAAAGTAAAAATAAGTAAAAATAAGTACACTTATTTTGGCCGAAATAAAAATTTATAAAAAAATGAAAAAAATAATGACAATAAAATTAAAGAAGTGCAGCCTTCTGATCGCATAAACGATTATTATTATTATTATTATTCAGAATTCGATTCATGATACAAACGTATTAATCACACATCATGCTAACAATTCCAATCAATCAATGTAAATGGATAATGTCAAAGGTTAATTTTAAAATAATTGAGAACGACATAGAAACTAAGATAAAAGAACATAACCAGAACATTTTTTCAAGAGAAGAGAGTGATTTCTTATTATCTCTTCATTTTAAAATTAAAAAAAATTTAATTACATAAATACACTTTTAGTTCTTATAATTTTAATTGTTCACATTTAATATTTTTAATTTTTTAAATATTGAAATTATATTTTTCATCTTAAAATTAAAAATTTTATTATATTTTATTTGTTTATATAAATCAATAAAGTGACACATTTTCATTGTTTTATTAATTAATAGATAAATTTTTAAAATAAAAAACTTAATTTGACATTTAAAAACTATAAGAATTAAATGTATACAATTAGAAAGATCAAGATTGCAAGATAAAAAAATTGAACTCAGCCAAATAAAAATAAAATATTTTTAAAAAAATCAAAATTCTGGTAATCTCCTGGTGTTTCATCCACTCAGGTGTATCTATTGATACACTAATCAATTGACAACTAAAAGATGGAGGAAATCCTTGCCTTTCCATTCCACAACTTAATATTTTTTTTATGTGGCAATTTTATCTTTTCTACAGCCCAAAATGTGTGGGCTGATAGCTGAAAAAAGGGACATTACACTGTCTTTCCATTTTGAATTTCTTATGTATTGTCCTAAATATTCTTTTATTTTTCTTTACTCTACTCATATCTCCTATATTTATTATGCACAAGCAAATAAAATTTTGATTAACTGTTATTATTGTATTAGTATTATTAATTAAAAAGCGTTAACATGAGTTCTTAGATTAATTTAAGGTATCTAAAAATATTAATTTTATTAAAATATAATAAGTATTTCAACTTTATTATATTTAGATGTTTAATATTAGTTATAAAGATCGGTGGATGTTAATAAAGTCGTATGAATTTATATTTAAAGGTACTGGTTGATGTTACACATAATGTGGGACTTCCTTGTCCTCAAATGTATGTCCATATTATCTTACATTTTATGTAATATAAATGTATTTTAAAATAAATAATTTTTTATAAATAATTTTCTTTTAATTAAAATTATTTATCTATTTACAAAAATTACCTATTTTCTGAGTTCTTTATTGAATTAAAAAGATGGATAAGAGTGAAGTACATCCATCAACTCATAATTAATTTTTTTCATGATTTGGTTTCTTTGGTAAAATAATTATTTCCTTCTTAATTAATTACTTTTTCACCCATTTAATTTAGTTTGGGGGATAAAATGAATTTTTTTAATAAATCTTCTAAAGATAAATGTATTTAGAGGATCTTGTGAAATTATGTTTTTCACTCTCTTTCTCACACACAAATATATGGTTTAATAGACTTTGAACCAATTTTAAATTAAAAAAGGTTAACATTTACGGCTGATTTTAAGCATTTAAAAGGGAAATTTTTTATTAAAAGTTATTCACTATACTTTTATATTTCTAACATAATAATATTTACTTCTTAAACAAAATTTTACTACTTTTAAATGTCTGAAATAAATTTAAAAGCTGATGTTAACTAAGCTTACATTAATTATTATTTTGATTCACTGTTCTACTCATGGTATCAGTCATGAAACAATCCTATCAAACCTAATACATGATAATCAAGCAATTAAATGAGCCCTGGAAGAAAATGCTAGGGGAACCCACAATGTTGACCAAGAAGCTGTTAAGACAATTCTGATGAGGGTAGTGGAGAGTGAAACAAGGGCTATATTGTACAAGAAGTTGGTCTTGGCCTTTTGGGCTCACGTGGGTCTGAAAAAAGGAGGTGCTAAGGAATAAGTTGTTGTTTTAGTTTGAATGATTCATAGTTGACAAAAAACAAAGATTGAATGATTCATTAGACAATTCCATCTTATTTTAAACAATTCAAATGACGATAACTAATGTTGATTTCATTTTATCTTATTCAACATCTTTTTCTTCAAACTCTACATTTTTAAGTGTCATTGATAAATGTACTTTTTTCCACCATGCCATTATTTACTCTTGATATAAATGTACTGTTTTTTGAATTGTCACACTCCAAGTTCTTGATATTTTTATAATTTTCATTTTAAATTTTTAATACTAGCTGGTTGCGTGCTTTGCAAGAAAGTTCTCGGCCACATCAGAGGTTTAGAAATTTTAGAGTTAATACTAGCAATAGAAGATTATTCCTTTTATACTATAAAATATTAAAAAGAAAAAAACTAATTAAAGCTAACTTTGCTCATGAATGAGTACTTGCAAGCTTATAGATAACCTGCCTCTTTTTCTATGGCAATTATAGTTTTTATTTAGATTCATAGCCCTTATTTTTTTTATAATTTTGCTTCTACTGATTAATTCAAATTAATTGAGTATTTATTTGGAAGGAAGAGCCCCCAAAACTTCTTATGCTTTGGTTGCTTCTGATTATCATCAAAATTTCTTGTATGTTTTTGCATAATCAAGTGAAGTTGCTATCCTTTGTGCATGCAAAATTAGGAACAACTTTTCTAACCTATGCAACCTTGAACGTACTTATATATAATAAATTTTTATTAAAAAACTGTAACATTTAATAGTAGTAATATATTGATTTATGTAATTTTTAATAAATACTTAGAACATATAACTCTTTAATGTTGCATAAGTTAAAAAATTGAATTAGTAAATACACATCAATTAAAAATAGATATAGAAATTTTAATGTTCGCAAATCTATTCCTTCCTTAATTTTTGCAAGTGTTAACATTAACATTATTCATCCAATAGTATGCAAATTCCTTCTACAAAGTGCAATTTATCATCATATTCTTATATTAAATACAAATGCAAAAGCACGCGTTAAGTATAACATATGAAGTAAATTGAATTCTAATAGTATAATACTCATTTACCTCAAATTCTTTAAAAGAATGGTTATTTTTTTGGAAGGCTCTCAACCTCTCACGTAGATGGCATTATATCATTTCAAAATGTCCAATAAGGCAATAACATTTATCAGTGTAAAATAATTTTAATTATGCATTCAGCAATATCGATTTCTGAAACTAATTAGATAAAATCTTATCTGCTAAAACATCTGTGAAAATTTTTTGGTGATGATATCCTCCAAAGATGTAAAATCATCCACATGATGAGATATGTGAGAAATATCTTCTGAAATCATTGTTATCTCTTGCAAAAAGACTAGTTTGTATTATGTTTGGAGACCTTATATTCTCTACTACTTTTTCTCTTCAAAGTTCTACATCACCTGGATATTGTCTTCTACAAATTTAAACCTAAATTTCTCAACATCAGTGCTTTCCACATATACACCAATCTTATCTGTTAACAACTCGTTAAAGATATAATGTGACAATTTAATGGAACGTTTTAGTAGTTTATCATCTCCAAATTATTAGTCTCTCGGTTGAGATGATGGCTCTAAAAGGACATGCCATATTTGATATTTTCAACCAAGGTATATGTTATCTAATTTTCTTTATTTGACACACGAGTCTTTTCTAGCGGGACAAAATAAATGGAAAGACAATAGAGCCATAAAAGAAGTCACATTATGAGAAGGGTATAGCCAAAAAACAAAAATAAAAATTATCACTGTATTTAACAAAATTAACTAAAAATATAAAATTTAAATTATAAAATTAAACATAATTAAATAGAAATAGAAATATATTATACAATAAATCAAAAAATAATTTCAAATTCTCACTCTTTTGATAGGATTTAAAATTCTTTAATTTTAGTCAATTAAAAATCTCTACTAAACTATCTAAAATTTTAAACGTAATTTATGTGATATAAGTATATTTATATTGATATAAGTTACTTCTTTCAAAGCATCTTTTTTATTTGAAAATTTTCATAACTTAACGAACATAACTTTCAAATTTGACTTTTTTAAAAAAAAAATATAAAGTCAAGACAACCCAATTTTAATCCAGCTTTAATTATGTCATAAACTAGGTTGGATTTTTCAAAAGAAATTGTTCGATTTAGTAAAATGAATCAGGTTCGGCAAGGCTAAACATTTCTTTTCTTTAGTCTAGTCCCAAAACAAATGATGATCGCTTTCTGTTGATCGAAAACAGGTCACATGTCCAAGAATGCAGAAAAAGTGATATACAGATTCATCCAACAGACCTAGAAAAGCCAATAGATTAAGACAGACCTAGAAAGTTCCCCCTTGGGAATTTGGGAGAGGGAACCAGAAATGAAGGCAGTTCATCATTTACATTGCAGTTCCATAATTGGCACTTTTCTTTGAACAACGAATATAACCACCATTCCCCAGTAATACACAAGGTGTCAAATGGTTCGCAAGAGCAATCAAATTTCTCTTTTGGCAGTGTGACTTTGCAGTATTGCATGCCTAGATCCAAGGGACTCCATATAAAGCAGCCGAAATTCCTGTAAACTTATAATGTTGTCTGATCATATGCAGAATGCTTGATACCCATTGGAGGCATTGCTGATGCCTTGATAATATGTTTGCAATGCTAAGTTACATGAAGTCTGCCAAGCATGCATACCATGGAAGATTTGCGTAGTAATTCCATGCTATGCAAGTTTATGGGAAGATATTTAAAGGTCCACCTGATTTTAAAAATAAAATCTTCTCATATCCATAATCAACTTGTCACAAACGGTGTCATTTTTAGCCAAAAACAGTTCGGCTGCTTCTCTACTATTGAAACTCTCCCCTTCTATAAAGTAGCTTTCCTCATCTTTCACAATGATTCCATGTTCACAAGCAAAATCTAAGATCTCTGACTCATGGCAAAAGCCTTTTCCAAACTTGATACCCAGTTCAGCCTTTTTCATTGCTGCCGGTGCTAGTTTGTTTTTTGCCACTTGCACACAGATCATAACACCCTCTACCTGAAGCAGCATATATCAAGAGAGAAGAGAAGAATTAAAACAAGAAAAAAGAGGTGTTTGGGAACCAAGAAATTGGGTAACTTTCCATGTTACTAAACAGCAATAACACAAAAGTAGCATCATAAAGGTGGCAGGATTGAGAATGAGAAGTCTTCCACAACAGAACCCAGTTGGCCAAAGTCCTAACAGAACATAATTACTTAAGAACTAACCTTGTCCTCAGTTTTGATCAATCCCATTCTTGAAAGTCTCAAGCGAACAGCTGCATAGAATCTCAAGGCATTTCCACCACAAGTGACCTCTTCCATGGATCCACATCCATTAACTGATTTTGGACTAAATCTAACCTGTACATTAAAGACAGTATTGAACGATAAATCACATGGGTTGTCGGTATATCCTTCAAATTGACATTCCAACTACAAGATGCACAATTGTTCAGTAATATGGATTTGACCTGATTAATGAAAACGATGAGAGTTTGGGAGTGAGATAATGAATAATGAATTTTCCGCAGTGCCTTAGTCATCATTTGTGATTGTAAATCTCGTTTAGGGCAAACTCCCAATTGATCAAGTTCGCATTTGGGGATAAGGGCAGCAACCTGGAGTGACAAAATCAACTTATTTCCAAGTGAATGTAAAACCAAAGATGAAATGCATTAGAATGTCTAGAAAAGATCTCATAATATCATCGTTGCATATTAGGAATACTTTAGACTATTTAGGATGATCTCATTAATATTTCGTTTGATCATTTGCTTCCTTATGTTACTAGAATTAGGAGTTTAGAGTAATAAAAAGGGATAAAATCAATATCAATTTCAGATGATTCATAATCTTATTCTCTCTTTTCCTTCTTCTCAACCTAATCCTATAATTTCAACAAAATGATCGTAAACAATGAAAAAATAATTGGAGGATACATAAAGCCAGTCTAAATACTTGATTGTAGGTTTGTTACTGCTGTAGTTGGGGTGGGCAATACTCTTATCTTGACAGTCAGACACTGCTTTTGGGTCTCACCACAGATTTGAAGTAGACGATGTTCACAAAAATGCTTGTTTTGCTAAAATAATGTGTGTCTGATCAATAAGGGACAATTTACACATGTAGAGAATTTTCTTCTGCTTTTTAAAGATGGACTTTTATGCCATGCCAAACAGAAGTTATGAGAAATAGAATCAACATGGGTATGATTAAAAGCAGTGTAAGCTAAGTCACCCTACTTGACCAAATCCTCATGTAAAATACATAGGTGTTAAAGACAATACAAAATACAGTAACTTACACTATCAATCACAATCACATCTACAGCTCCACTTTTTGTTAATGTATCAACCATGCTCAACAAATTTTCAGCACAATCAGGATGTGATATAAGAAGGTTTTCAGTATTTACACCTATTGATTCCATAAGTGAAGAGTCCAATGCATTTTCTACATCAAGATATGCACAATAACCTGCCATATAATAAACAGAAGTTATCAAATTGATAGGACACAATAAGTAAAACAAACGCACTATCGGAGAACGGAGATAGGGTAAAAAGTGAAGTACTGAGCCTCTAGCATGTGTAAAACTCAACCGACAAGTAAATTACAAAAATTTGATTCAATTTTTGGCCAATATCAACTGTCAAAGGAAATGACAGTTTTAGAGACATACAACTTGATGCATTTCATTCATCTTAATACTCCAGTATCGTTACAATGAACAAATTAAATAAAGTATTAAAGCCCAGATCATCACCAAGAAACTAACCTCCTACTGAATGATGGAAAGACTTCCAGCTGCTTCCAATCCATTGTCATATTTTACAAATCTATCTTGGATATTCTACCCCTAAATTATTTTCCTAGTTTGAAATTCAGACAAGATACTAGATTTCTTTTTCCCAAATTCTTTCTCTGTGCTTCACTTTTCAGAAAACATGAAATGATTGATACCGATTATAGCAAATAATTGTTGATATGACAGTTTACAACTTATGAGTTCATAAGGAAGTTTCTGTATACTGACACAGAACCTTTAATCAGCACATTTTCCACTTAAAGGAAACATAACTGCAAGAGAAATTTTTATCACATAATTGAGGAATTGACTCATTTTGAAACTTAAGGTAGCTCAGGGTGGAAGGAAACGTTCATATACACTTTGATGTATACGTGACTCCTCTCAAGCATCTCTGTGCTACATAGAGCAAAGAAAATTATGTTTTTCCATAGCAAGCTCCAAGAGTTCATTACTATTGTTTGACTAAGATTTAATTGTAAGCCCAATCCCTTATTAACGACACCAGAACTCATAAGAAATTTGAACAGAAATATCCATTAACAGATATTTTTTCATATTGTTGAAGTACAAATTGACAACTTCATTTATTGGAAGTGGGTCTAAAAAACTGAAATACCGAAATTCTGGTAAGTACCTCCAAGCTTTTGAGCTTCTTTAATTATGTGAAGTGCAAGTGTAGTCTTGCCAGCTGCTTCTCGTCCATAAATTTCCACAATCCTACCCTAAAATGTTCAAATGGAAAACACATTTAAGGAAATTTGTGAATATGATAGTAAAAATATAAGCCAGAAGTAAGAATCATAATTTCCAGGCAAGTCTGTTAAGTGTTCATCTGGAAAAGGTTGACCAACCAAAAATCAGATTATTGATCGTTGACAAAGCATTTGACCAATTTCAAATTTTAAATGACCACCTATCATCCACTGATTAAGATCTACGGAGAGAGAGTAAAAGCATATATCAAGAAGAGAAAGGGTGCAATTGGAAAATAAACGTTAATTTTGAGTTCATGTAATTTGCTGCTTTGAACAGCAGACTAATTCTGACACTGAATAATCCCTTTTGTATCATTAAGAGGCTTAACGATTCCTTTTGACTGCAAGAGGTTCAAATTCTGAATTGTATCGGTGCTTCAAGAGCACAAGGCTAAGATGAAAGAGGGGATAAAACCATTACAAGTGCTAAACTGAAAAGATCTTTATGGGATTGGTTATCCTATATACAAAGAGTATCAAAGTGCTTAAAATCATAAACTTTCTAATTTCAGTAGAAAAGACCTCCATTTAGGATACAATATAAAAAAAAAAAGTCAGGCACTCTAAGTTTATCAGTTAACAACTCAAAGAGATACCATTCTAAGCTTCTACCCTTTCAGAATTAATGTGGGACGACAATAAGTGGGAAAGGGAACTAGGGTTAAGAAAAGGAAAACAAGGAAGGCTAGTTTTATTTGGGAACTTACGACTCCTAGATTCTTTGTCTGAATACACACACACACACAGAAATGCCAATGCTTTTGGTAGCAAAATTCAATGTTATTTACTTTTGTGTTAAAGCCCTATAGCTAGGAATTGTTCTTTTAAGGTTACAGTTTCATATTGGCATTGATGTGTAAATCCAGGGCATTTTTGAGGTCATCTAACCATGAGAGAAAAAGCAAATATGGCTCAGCTTGGATAAAATTTTTAATAATTACTTCTAGGAATCAAAAGTTAAGTAGCAAAATGAATTAAATTCCTTCAGTATGTTAAAATTAACTTATGCATCTCTGTTTTTTCAGAAGCCTTCTCATTTAACTTCTTTAAAACTTGAGAAGTATAAGTTGCTTTTAACTTATAAGAAAAGTTTTATTCATTTTTATATTGATTTTTTTCTTATAAAAACTTATTTAAAAGCTTATCCAAACTGGGTCTAGATGTGATAGTGCATCTGCTACACAATTTCACTGGGTCATCCACCAGAAAACTGTTAGCACATGATAGCAAAACATTTTATTACCCCCAAATTGTCTAAACTCTAAAGGATAGCTGCACAAATCATATCATCATCACCTTTGGCAATCCTCCAATACCAAGAGCCAGGTCAAGCTTCAAGGAGCCTGTAGATATCACATGAGCACGTCTTACACCAAAAAACTTCTGCAAAGATAACATTGACTCGTTGCTGAACTCACTGGCAAGCTGCGAGACAGCCAAGCAAAGTGCATTACTTTTCTCTGCTGCTTTGACATCATCATGGGTCTCATCACATTCTAAATCTGAAGCTTCAGCTGAAACTAGAAAATGTTTCTAACGTCGTTTACAATTTTGAGAATATAAGTACCTAGTATTCTCTATGAACAGGGATGAAGACATACATCTATGCATATACAGTGAAAAAGAAAGAGAATGAAGTCCACAGAAAAAAACCAGCGTGAATTCATGCCAAATAGAAACACATAAATACATACAGGTACATTAGGAGACAAGGGAATGAGTACCTGCAGAAGAAAGTGAGCAGGCATTCATACCAATCCTGGTCATTATTTCTCTACCTTCATTCTGGGGAAAAGAAAAAAAAGACATAATTTATCATGATTCTCTACCAGTGTGAAAGGAAGACAGATATGAGAAAAAAGGAATGCAAAACAAAACGAATTGAGGTGCATTTGAGTAAACAGCTTAATTGCAAGTGGCATTTATTAGACGCATCCTATTGAATACTTTGTTCAATCAGTATAAGTTTTCACTTCATTAAAACCCATTAACCTTTTGAGAGAACATTTAGGGGCATCTGGAAGAGCTTACAGAGAGTTTATAAAAAGAGCTTAAGGAAGACAGATATGAGAAAAAAGGAATGCAAAACAAAACGAATTGAGGTGCATTTGAGTAAACAGCTTAATTGCAAGTGGCATTTATTAGACGCATCCTATTGAATACTTTGTTCAATCAGTATAAGTTTTCACTTCATTAAAACCCATTAACCTTTTGAGAGAACATTTAGGGGCATCTGGAAGAGCTTACAGAGAGTTTATAAAAAGAGCTTAAGGGATATGACTCCCGTAAGCTCTTTTCAATAACTTTCTCAGCTCTTTTTAGCTTATCCAAGAAGTTTTAAAATCAAGTTTATCCAAAAAGTGCTTAATTAAGTTGTGTTCCAATCCAAACACACCCTGAAACCAAAAAAGAAAACTCACATCACTCTAAACGGATAATAATGCTCCGTTTACAAATAAACAAACATTAGAGACGCAGCTCTACTGAACTCACAAACGGAACCCACATATCTTTTCCATCAGAAACATAGTCATACTTCAATTTCTTCTTCGAAGTTAACATACGCTTTAAAGTAAACAAATAAAATTAAATGAGACCTAACCACGTTTCATAGTTAATAAAGCAGGTTGAGAGAGATAGAGAGACCTGGGAGTAGAAGAGTAAAGGCCTAGCGAAGAGATGGAGACGAGTGAAGAAAGACATTTGAATGTGGACTAAGAGACACCGCAGGCGCGTGCTGTTAGTTGCGAATTCATACACAATTCAGAGAGCCAAAGTTAGCTATGTAGAGACCATAGCAAAGACGAGCAAGGAACAAAGAAACCAAGCCAAGGGTTTTTGGCGCTCCACTCAAATAAAATGAGGTTGCCACGCGCCAGCAAGACACCAACCTTAAACAATGTCAACATTATAAAATAAATAATTAAGAATATATTAGTTTTATTTATAAATATTATTTTGTTAATAATAAAGTGTAATAATAATACAAAGAGTTAAACATTTGGTAGTTTCCATATTAATTGTTTTAATAGTAATTTATAGTTATTTTATTATCATTAAAAGTTTTATATACCAAATCATTTTTACAACATTGACTAAGGCCTGTTTGTAAAACACTTGAAATGGAGATTGTGGGATTTTCAAAGCATTTTTTTGGAAGTAAAAAGTCTTACCTTGCCTAAATTTCATTACCAAAGACCTAAACTAGTGCCAATTCTTACAAAAGAAAAATAAATTATTTTTAAAGTGATTAAAGACACTTTTTAGCCGTAATTATAAATAATTTCTTTTGAAATATAAAGATTATTTTTTGGTCTCTTATAATAAATTTTTTATAGACATGATAAGAATCAATTTTTGTTAACATAAGAAAAAAATACAATTATTTATAATTATTAATATTTTTTTTCAAAATAAAAAACTGTAACTGTCCATATATATATATATATATATATATATATATATATATATTCAGAATTATATTTTAGTTATTATATTTTGGCTGATTAATTCTTCTTCAAATTTTATACACCAAGCCGTTCAGGTCGCGGTTGGCGGAACCGTTGACCGGTCTACCCCATTAAAGAGCTTTGTGGCGACTGAAAATTAAAACAGTGAAGCAAAGGGAGGAGATGGGTGGAGCTACGGCTATGGCGATGTCTCAGTTAGGGTGCTTCTCCGCCATTCATCGCACCCTCCACCTCCAGAGGCGCTTCCTTCCATCCCCTTCTCTTCGTTCCAAGGTCAACCGCACTCTCTCTCCTCTTTTTCTTAATTACTTCTTTGTCTCTTCTCAGCATCTTTTCAATTCATTAGGGTTTGTCTTTAGCCACAATTACGTGCATCGTGTACGCTACTCTCTTCATATTTCATAGATCTAAACTACTGCTTATGTCCATTGAGGCATTACAATTACACTCTCTTCATATTGTTATTTTTTTCCTCCTAGTGTCTTAATTAGGATTTTTTGTTTCACTTCTTAACTAGTGCATGTTTATTTGGATTAGCTTGTTTTGAAAATTAGAAATAATAGTGTTTTATTTCCAGAGTTCTGATGATGAAGTTAAAAGAAAGTTATTTCTTCATAATCAGTTTTTCCCGAATGCGATGTTAGTGTTGGAGATGATGCTTTGTGTTCATACCGTTGGTTTTCTGATTTTGTTTCTTTTAGTCACAGGATTTGTATACCTTGTGTTCATTCCACACCAGATTACTGAAAAGAAGAATTGACGTAAACCCATTATGTTTAGGAACTTAATGTAGAAAATGAAAACTCTGCCTGTTGTTACCGTTGGCGATGCTTTTCTTTGAATTACCAGAAATCTTGTGAGGAGCGTCCTTCATATGATGCGGTTTATATATACGGATCTATGACTTTGAAATTTGAATGTCTGTTTGTCTGTATGTGAGGGTTGGGCGTGGTGTGGTCTTGACGGAAAATCAAAACTGAATTGCAAATATCTGGAGAAAACAATTGGGTTCAGTTATAAGACAATCAGTTCCAGTTTATTTTAGTTTGGTTAACTGGTGTAATTTCAACTTATAAAACTTGGTACAATCTTTTTTCAAGAGTAAGTAATAGACTGACTGACAATTAAAACGTGGTGAAAACTGAAAAAAAAAAAATGCAGTCTTTACCGTTATATGATCATAAAAATACAGTTGATGTGTTCCTTGTAAGACTGAATGGATGAACACTTGTGGGGATTGATGAAAATAGAACTCAAGAACACAATGATTAATGTCAAGCACGATGGATATGAAGAAGTAGACCATTATCCCAGCAATAGTGAGCTAAGCTAGTATTTGCAGTGAATCCCCATGTTAAGTAATCATGCATTCTCCACTTTATTCAACAAAATATAAGTATCAGTTCATGATGGAAACTTCTAACAGCTGATCAGCAACAATGGCCACTTCAAATGCTTGAATGTTGGCAATAACTTACCAAGTGATATTGGCTTCAAAACAGCTGAATGTGTGAGTGGCAACTTATAGGATCAAAGAGATCAGGAGAGAATTGAAAATTTGGTCCACTGAATGATAAATGACAGCTCAGCTTTGATTCAGTGACAATTAGGAAGAAACATATTGCAATGAGATGAAGAGAAGAATAAAAAGTTTGAAGCTGATTCTGCATCCCTTTAAAAATGAACTAGATACAATTCAGTCAACTGTTGATAATTAAATTGAACTACTTCACTGCAAAAGAACCAAATTGGTACAATGTTGGTTTGTTGGATACATTTTTTCTCCTGTTTCAGTTTGGATCGGTTTAACAATTTGGTTTGGTTTACAGTTCTTTTACCCACCTCTACTTTGTGTGTGTTTCCATGTCTATCATCCATGTTCCACTTGACTTACTTCCTTTTGAGTTGAGTATGAATCTGCCCTCCCACCTTGCTTTCCTTCAACTGTTGACCTTCTTGATGCTATGAACAGTCCTGAATAACAGCATAATATATTTTTGTTCAATCAAACTTTGTTAGTGCAAGTATTTGATATTGATACTAAACAGGAAGCATGTCTCATATAGTTATCAGTTGTTATGTGTCTGGAGAGGCATGGCACAGATACTGCTGGTTCTGATTCCAAAAACACAATAAGTTATGCAGCTGAGGTGTCCAAGCATGTCGAAGAAAAGCAGAATTCATATTCAACAAATGAAGCTCTTGACAACGAAAAAATAGGGTTTGGAGAGGCTACACGGGAAGCTGTTGGTCAAACGAAAAAGACTGCAAAAATTCATGACTTTTGTTTAGGCATTCCCTTCGGTAAGTATTACCTTGTTTAGGTAATTTTCATTTTAGTTGACTTTACTGTTAAGTTACGATGCATTTCTCTGTTGGTGGATGAATGTTTGGTGTAATTGCTCTTTTAGTCCCTTTAATTGTAAATCTAGAAAAAAATAATAATGGGACATTGTTGGCAATTTATATCTAGTAGACACTCCTGCATTTTATTGCCTATAAATTGATAGAACGTGTTAGATTTTTCTCTTTACTGATAGAACTGGTAGAAATAATGCTGTGTTATTGAATCAACAAAAACTTCCCGGCACCACCCAATGGTGGGTCACCTGAAATACATACAACCCTTGGCATTTGAGGGACTGGGAACTTTCCCCCGCAAATTCCTTTCTTCTCCTATTTATTAGTACTAACAACCTTGCAGAATTGGAACTAACTCAGTAACAAAATTACAACTAACTCACAGTAATAGATTCTAGAGGTTGTTATCCTGTGCTTCTTTTCTAACTCTCGTATTGATGGAGCTGCTGGCCCAAATGACCAGTTGTTGGATCCCTTGGACATGTCCAAAGCATGGAGGGTGTATGTGAGAAAGAAAAAGTGAGATGGTAGAAAAGGAAATGTAAGGTATGAGTTAGTTACGGGAAAAAAGTATATGGTGTAAGGGGGAGCATGAATGGGAGATAGGCTGAGATTTTGTTTTCTGCTAGGAGGAGCTGGATTTTCATTCGTTGATCATGGTAATCTTGTAGGAGCCATAGGCTTTGGTGATCATGGTTGTGTTTGTTTTCTACCATTAAATTCTATGATACTGTCTTTTTCTTATTGAATTTCTATCGCCTTTGATCAACCCAATTTATGATGGACCTTGACCTATTGTTTATTACAAGTTGAAATTAAATTTAGTGAAAGGGAATAGAATAGAGAACAATTGTACTTTCTGTTCAAAATGTGTTGTAAATTAAGTGAAAGATCGTTGAAGGATAAATTGAATTGATATACCTCAGAAACGCTTTATGAAATCAAGTGTTAGATTATGGCTTATTAAACTTCTATATCTGTCTGGTTGTTTAAAATGGAATATTGTGCTGAACAGGGTATACAATTTGTAGGTCATCTTGGGTTTGTGACTTGTTACATCCATAATATGAAAATGTGATGCATTATTTAAGTGCTGTAAAAGAAAATTTATGCCATAGGCTATTAGGAAAGCACCCCTGCCCCCTCCCTTTCCACCTCCAATTTTAAGACACTATAAGTCATCTTTGTCTTTTGTTGTAGGTGGATTTGTTTTAACAGGAGGGATTATTGGATTCCTTTTCTCACGGAGTCCTGCAACACTAAGCAGTGGTGTGTTCTTTGGTGGTGCTTTACTGTTCCTCAGTACCCTTAGCTTGAAGGTTTGGAGGCAAGGAAAATCTAGCTTACCATTTATTCTAGGACAAGCAGGTATACAACTCCAGCATTAAGCATCATAGGTCTTGGAATAAAATGGAAAGAAATTTAAAAGGATTCAGCATAATGTTATTTGGATAATTGTTATTCAATCTTTTGACATTGTTTCCTTATTTTGCAGCATTGGCAGGGGTTCTTATCTGGAAGAACTTCCAGAGCTACTCATTGGTAGTACATCTATTTTGACAAAGGCTGTCTTTGTGTTGTGCCTCATTTAATTGTTACACTTGCTTTCTGAATGCAGGCAAAGAAACTATTTCCAACTGGCTTCAATGCTATTATAAGGTCTCTCAGTCCGTGATTTCTAACCTTTTATTTCTATTTTGGTCTTTGATAATTGTTCTTTTTCCTTTGGTGTGCTAGATTGAACTGAATTTGGTCTGACTTGTTTATGGCTGCTTGAAATTTTGTTTGCAGTTCTGCAATGCTCTGCTTCTATTTTTATGTGCTTCTCTCTGGAGGAAACCCCCCACCTAAGAAATTGAAGCCATCTGCCAGCATTGCATAATGAGATACTCAAGGTTATGCTAGCCTATAAAACATGGGGGATATGATTTCTTATTTTTCTGTGAATTGAAATAAGGTTGTAAGCTAGTTTGGCTAAGTTGCTTTTGAAAGTAGGTCAGCCATGAGGTGCGAATGTGATTATTGCATTAAATTCCAAGGTATTTAGTGGTTTATAGACTAATAATATGAAATTTGATGGAAAATCTGATTTGCTTGATACAGGTATGTTGTTTCGATACTCTTGATACATGGCACATGCATTTAGATGGTAGGGTGAAATTTGGTACCAAGTACACGTGCATTTAGATTGCTCTGAGAGTCCCTTCCTGAGGTCCGTAGTTTAGGGTCATTGAGATGAAATTGAATCCTAGGCCCAAGGTCACGCCTTTTCGTGATTCATGCCGATGGAGAATATAGCTTATGCTATACTGCACTAGGATATGAAGAAAATGTGTTCCCCAGTCTACTGACTGATGCCTTGGTGGTTTGTGACGTTCATTCATCATTCAAATCATAACTTACTAACATTTTCCTTTTAAAATATAAGTGAGAATATACTTCTGAATCCCAATGTGAGGACAAAAAATTGTGGTGAGCTACACTAATAGACAAAAGGAGCAAGAAAAATTAAGAATATAAATCACTTCCACAATCAATATGCATCTACTTGCATCTTTTTATTTTCCCTCTTTGAAATGACCGAACGGGCCAGGCACTATACTAAAAAACAGAAACAAACTAGAAAAAAACCAGAAAAAAACTAGGATGAATTATACTACATTCTCTTATGGTTTCATATTTTGAAATCTTATTATCCTACACTTACTGTTTTTCTAACACTAAACACTCTTATCCCTTATATTTGCTTGATTTAGCCACGATTTTAGGCTTGTGTGTGTGTGTGTGTGTGTGTGTACCAATATCCCAGATGTTGTTAGATTGGCAACTAGACATGTAGTCTTCAGGTGTTTCCTTTGAGTCTCTCTAAGCAATCGATCACTGATACTTGACCTAAGAAGTTTGTATTAATCTACTAAAAGTTTGTGCTTGTCCTTTCTTGCTCAAAGAAGCCTTTAAATTTTCAATTGTAAATTTATATATTTAAAAATTTACTTTTTTTTTAATATTTTCTTACTTTTCTATCTTTGGTTATTTTTATATTAAATTTTGTATTATGCTTATTCTTTTCTTAAAAAATTATTTGAGTAATCAAATTTAATAATTTAGAAATTTCTAAAATCTATATGCCACAATATCTTAATTTGAGAAAAAATAATAATTGAATGTATATTAATTTGATTGATATTTGAAATTTTGTAAATTTCTTTAATTTTCAATAAATCATTAGCAACAAAACATAAATCTATCACAAAAAATGAAAATTTCTCATTTGCCTGACTTATTGATAAGGATGATAATCATACAATTGCTAATTCTATTATTATTTTTCTAACAGTGAACCTTGCTCGCCCTACATATTACATGTTGCCATCAAAAGGTTTATGAATGGCCAGAGCTTGGGACGCTTACTATATTTTGCCATTTGGCCAAATGAAATAATGCATCTCAATAATTTTAAAAGGCGCTTATTTTAGATTTCTAATGTTTCAACGCATTCTACATCATTGGATTTAACTGGAGCGTTTGGATTAATAGCAAATTAAGGATGGTAGATGTTCAAAATTAAGGAATCAGTGTGCATGCATGTATACTGTGTTGGTAGATCTTGTCAATTGTGGGTCTGGAGGCATTATCTAATTGGGATCAGTATGCCAGTAAGGAAAAAGCATTATTTATGCATAAGGAATTAAGCCAACCAAAAATAAATAAATAAAAACAGCTCCACGGAGTATTCATGGATGCCATTTATAGGCCATTCTAATTCCGAAGATCATCATTACCAAATTAAGCACAACCTACGATGGTGGTACGAATAATATTGTCCTTCTCTATCAATAGGAAGAATGCATTCTAAAATTGTCATGCTTTGAGATGACACAACTATGTATTGCGTTGGTATGCCTAACCCATCTTAGTATGGGATGGTAAAAGAAAAGTTGATGATAGGGATCCCACAATGAGCGTGAACTATCACCTCCAATCTATGTAGTGAATATGTGTGTTCCAGTGAAGGGTCCATGGACCACATGGTTATTTAGGTTGGCTTTTAGCCACGTACACGTCTTTTTCTCTTGTTGGAGGCTTGAATAAGTGGCTCATCATAATTCTCAGATAAATTTTAAGTGAAGTGAAGTAGGCCATTAATTTATGTTCTTGTTCTTGTAATTATACTGCTGTACTTAACTTTCCATGCCCTTGTGTGTTTGTTCCCTCGTTGAATTTGAATGAAAGCAATTCTTGCTCTTGAAGACTTTTGAAAGCCATGTTTCAAAGTAAATGGCAACTAGGCACTTATCATGCATTGTTACATAAAGGTTTTGAGGTGGGGGGGTTATTTCTTTCTTGCTTTCTCCACCCTTTAACTAGTCTTTTCATGCTCGGCACTGGTCACTGCACTTGAGCATTGATGGGATGTGTATTTCATTTTCTGTATAAAGGTGCTTTGTATGATTTCCTCTTAATAGATAATTCAAAATTATAATCACTGTCTTTTCTCTCAATTAATGCACATAAGTAATTATGTTATTTTTTCACTCTTATGAATTTTCACTTATTCCCAGGTTAAATGAGAATTGACTTTTAAACTCTATTGAGGACTGGGAAAACCATATTAGCCTTTAAAAGTAGTTTTTAATGTTATAGTTTTGATTTGAAGAGTTTAGAAAGAATTTATTAAAATAATTTATAATTTGTATAAATTTAATTTATATTAATAATTTTTATAGTATAATTTATTAAAATATTTTTTTAATAAATTTGTATTTAAATTTATGTTATAAATGTTTATATAATAAAATTTTATTAGATAAATATTTGATTAAGTTACTTATCTAAACGCATTATATAAATATTTATGCATTAACTTGGACATTAGCAAGCAAATTTGTCTATATCATTTTTCTCATTTTTCAAAAAATTGTCTTTTTAGTGGTCCAAAATTCTAACTTCTTTCGAAGTTGGTAAGGGGCGTTGTTTTCGCAGGAATGCGAAGAGAGGATTGACGAGGTGGGGCCGGAGAACACGCTATATATGATTAGACACACAACGTATGTTGGCACAAAAATAAGTTAAATTTTGTACAAGTTTGATATATTTAATAATTTTAAATTTTAAGTTTGATTTATTATTTATTATAATTTTTATTAAGTTTAATTTATAATTTTTTAAAAGTTTCACGTAGCTTATTAATCTTGACCTATTTTATAATGATATTTTTAATAGGTTATTAAATCTCTTAATAAATAAAATATACTAAAGGTTTATCTGAACAAGACATAAAAAAATATATATTCAGTATATTAAATATTTATAATAAAAATATATTTTTATTTATCATTTTTAAAATATATATCTGATTTAAATAAATAAATTATTAAATATAAAACAAATACAATTGAATAAATATCAATCTATAAATTATTAAACAAATCTAATAATATAAAATTTCACATATTGAATCAATAAACACAATATAACTAAATAAATTTTAAACTTAAAATTAATAAATATAAAAAATAAAAATATAAAATACATTAATATATATGTTTTTCTAAAATAAAGTATAAAAATATTAATAAAAAAATACACAAATAATAGTAATATTAAATACTTCAGCAAATACAGGGTTATTTCTCTCAAAAAAAAGTATGTAATATAGATATTATTAACTTTAACAAAAAAAATACTAAAGTTTCTAATTTAAGATATCATTTATTTTAAAATTTAATTTATTTAATATAATATTATATTATACTTTTTATATAAAATTATTTAATATATTACTATAAATTTTATAAATCTTAAACAAATCATTTTATTAGATTTGATAGAATTTTTATTTAAATTCAAGCGTTACCTAATCTTATTTAACAGTCTATGATTAAGTGTATATCAACCACATCGCACTTCATTGCAACACAGGATGCTGAAAGCCCCATTCCTATACACACATCAACATTTTTTTTTATTTAGATTTATTGGATTAAGGGTTTATTTGAATTTGTGAGAATAATTGGTAATTATATCATAATTTTTTAAACTTATTTTATCAATATGATGCTTGCAGGTAATTTATTTAAAAATTTTATATTAATTTCATGGATTTATAATCAGTAATATTTTGTATAAATATTATACTTAAATTAATGATAATACATTATTACAGATATATTTAAATAGTCAAATTGTGGACATAATTAAAAAAAATCAATTTTTTTACATACACTGTTCTCATTAAAAAAATTTCACATCTACTATCACTTAGTTGTAACACTAAAAAAACAAAAACAATTATTGTATACGACAGACAAAAGAAATAAGAGCTATACTAAAAATAAAATTATTGTATTATTTTACATTTTGATAGTATATTTTAATTTTTTATACCTATGAAACTGTTTGTAAATATGATGTATCATGTTATTAGTATAAACTATTAAATACTTAGAATAAATAATATATGTTTGATTTTTAATAAATTCCCGAGTTAAAGTTTTATGTATGGTTTTTTTAAATTAATAGAACTAGCAAATATATATTTTTCACATATGGCCATCAATATTGAAATCAAATTGCTTCTTCCAAGCATGAAATTTCCTTTTTTTTTTTTTCCACCTTTGCTGTAATTTATTTTTCTGTTCTTTGCTTTATCTTGGTTAGATTGGCACTTCAATCATTCTTCAAACTACAATATTGCAGAAGGTCATTAAATATCACATGGGAGTGGCCTCAACCAAAGCCAACTAAAAGATGACAATGCAAACAAACCAAGAGATATCGATAGGTGGATGAATGAGAGGAAAAACTGAAGGTGGAGAAAGGAGAAAAAAAATCACCAGCAAAAGAAGTAATCCACTTAAAATAAGTAAAATGCTCTCATGAAAAAAAAAGGCTTAAAATTGATGGCAACAGATATAAATTATAAAAGTATTATAATGCAAATAGAAAAATGTTAGTGAAAGAAAAAGAAACCCAGTTTAAAAGTTAGGGGGTATCACATGTTAATTTAAAGTTAGTTTCTCTAATTGAACATATCTTTACCATTAATTTGAATTTATGCATTTATTATATATATAGAAAAGATCCTCTCAAGTGACTAAATGATTTGGTACAAGAGAGAAAGACACTTTTTTTCACCTTTGTAATTGGAGAGTCTCTTAACTCCTACATATAACTAACTTTTAAATCGATAATAAATAAATAATATTATTTTAATATATTGCTTTTTAATATATATATATATATATATATATATATTATTTAAAAGAAAATAGCCAAGGACCACATAACTTCCTTTGCATGAGGCTGACGACTAAAAGAAAACCAATATATAATATATAAACAATTAGGGTATAAGAAATATTTTTTTC